TGAAAATAGATGCAGGTAGCTTGATGATGAAGCAGCAAACCAGTATTAATTTGTATCTGGTCAGCTTGGAGCCAGATTCAGCAGAACTAATGTGTCACTGCAGCTGGCCATATTTTAAGCTTCCAAGGATCCCAGTCTGATTTTAATTCCCTGACAAGTCTGCATTCTGTACAAGAGCAAGACTGCCATAGGCCTTTGCTTCCCCTGCTTGTTGTTTTAGGACACAAATAGGAAAGTGGGGTAAACAAGCTCAGGGATGCAAAATCCCATAATGCAGGAAAATGTAGATGTAAGTTTGTAAGTCTCACAGGTGAAACTGCTACAGTTCTAAAGATGGCGCACTAATTACATGCTTTAGGTGTGTAGCTGATAGTGGCTTCTTTACATGCCTTAGGTGTGTAGACTCCAGTGGCTTTCTCCCTGCTTCGCTGAACCAGATGGAGCAACAAATGGAAATAAAGTAGTAGTATAATCATAGCCTGCTTTATGTCAGGGATGCTGAGGAGTCATCTGTGCGCTTCATTCTTCCAGTTTGAATCTCAGCTTGGCTTCCCAGGGAGTTTCATACTGCACTATTTCCTCCTGACCTTAGTAGCTGATAATTCTTTTCTATTCCTCTGCCATGGGAATTCATAGTGTAGGAAGCTGTCATACATCAGGTCAGACTATTTGCTTCTCCAGCCTAGGAACATCCACTCTGATTGGCAGGAATTCTCTAAAGTTTCAGGCAAAGTAAGGGCTATTTCATCCTTTAGTGAGGGATGCTGGAGGTGAAGCCCAAGACTTTGGAAATCAGTTGAGTGTCATACCACAGAGCTCTGGTTCATCCCCATGATAATGTTTTGCCTCCCTGATCAATTCCCTTCTCCACTAACTTAGTAACCAGACGATACAGTAAGCTGTGTCAGTGAGGTTAATGAGGCAAATCCAGCCAGCACATGACCAGCACATTAGGGATAATAATCTATGATGGCTTAGATTATTATTAGATTGCTCACTGTGATCATGCAAACCAGCCCAGACTCTGCTTCTCCGCTGTGCTTTACCGTGCCTTCTTGCACCTTACTCCCATTACTTCCCTGTCTCATTCATAAATTCCTTCGTCTCATTACTTCTCTTGGATCTTTTACCTGAGGATGTCTGCTATGTTGGCTTCCCTTCACTGCTCCAGAGAAAGCAGTGTCTTGGCCGCTGTATGAAGCGAATGGACCGGTTGGGGTCTCTCACGGTTGATACACTTGCTGGTGATGGCCCTTGCCACACCCTACGCTTACGGCTCCTGCTCACTCCCCTCATAGGCCACTCATTGCTGCCCAGGCGCTAATCGCTCTAGGCCAACCTGTGCCCTGTGACTCTGTTAGTCCTCCATGCTCTGATGACTTCTGGTCGAAAGAATATTTGCACCCCAGATATATGTAAGTTCAGAATGCAGGTTGATGTGCCTTATTGATTGATTGTACTCTTAAACCTCCAACGAACACACTTCACTGGGTAGCATGAACACCTTGAAAGGATGAAAGACAAACATCGAGGCAAAAAATACAAAGTAGAAGCAGCACAAAATAAAACCATGATGAAACCAGCAGCAATAAAGTTAACAACATAAAACCAGATTTAAAACTAACAGTGGAGTAGAATACTAAAACACGAAGGACAGATCTTAAAGTGTCCAGAAGGGTCTTTTCCTGATGCTAGAAAAACCATAAAACAGATGCCAGATGAAACTGTCTGAGTTCAACATACCAGAATGGGTGCCACCACTGAAAATGTCCCCTTTTGTAGCCGTCCACCCCTTCTTACTGGGCAAGGGCATCTGGATAGAGATCTAGGAGCATGATTGTAATGCCTGCATATGTAAATATGGAAGGGATCCTGGCCTCAAGTTCTTTAAAGCCTGAAAGATTAAAGACCACTTGAATTGGGCTCAGAAACACAGTGTACCTGATGTTTGTTTCTGAGAATTGTGCTTTGCTGCTTCTGGACATTCTTCATGACTGTTTCAGATCTTCTTTGGAGGAGATACACACACACATACGTGTGTGGGAGGGAGAAAGGAAAAGAACAAGTTTTGTAGCAAAGCTTCACGGTTAGAAAATGGATTTTCCTCTATGGTTTGCACAGTTTTATGGCTGTTTATGATTCTGGTGCAGTGATAGTTTAGCTACACCCTGCATTACTCAATGTAATTTTGAGGAAAGGGAGGCTGGATTGGAGGAATATCACTAAAATGAGGAAGTAGCAGGAGGCTCCAGGTCTGCAGTTTTGTGCAGATTTATGCATGTGCAAACTAAGGATACAGATATTAATGTTTTTTGCAAGCTTTGTTAGCTTAATTATATAAATAAAATAAATGCAGTCACATATGTTAACATTCCTATTTTACATTTAAATTATAATCAGAGATAAAACTGGAAATAATCAGCTAATGTTTTATTGATGTCTAAAATTGCTTGAGTTAATATACATCTTTCCTTTGAAGATGTGAACAACCCACAACTGCCACCCAGCTGTATAAAGATGATTGTAATGTATCTTAATAAAAACTGACAGTGTAAATGCCAGCGGTGTAGCAAGAATAATACTCTGGATATCCCACATCATACCCCTCCTCTGGCCACTGCACAAGTGTGCTAACAAGAGGGCTTTCTCTGGCTGAAACCGAGCTGTAATTGAAATAATTGAGGTATAAATTAACAAACTTAAAAGTTAACTAATTGGGCACATGCACAGCTTCTTTAAAAACAATCTTCAAAGGAAAAAAAGGCTATGCAAAAAGGACATAAATTTAGTTCTTCTAATGGAAAGGGAAATATCTAATGCAGGAGTAGAACATTCATTTATCTCTACCAGCAGCATGGGAGCCACAGTTGATCGTTTTTGCCACCCTCCCTCCTTCTTGCTCCTCTTTGTGTGCATCTTACGACTTTGTTCTCCATTCTCCTTATCTCTGCCTCTCTTTCAACACCTTAAAAAAGTTAAACAAAGATAGAAAGCCATGTTTGTTTGTTTATATTTGTATTTGCATGCCACCAACTATCCCTATAGTTATCTCTAGGTGGCTTACAACATTAATGTTGGCACTGCTAGTGTAATCTACCTTTGGTTGAGACACGGTCTACTTGAAAACCATACCTATCAGCTTATATGTAGTGTTAGTTATGTAATATTATTAAATAATAATGAGTTGAATTAAGAATAAGGATACAGTCCTGTGACTTTCAGCGGAGGATAAACCTCATGTTAGTGAGTGGGTTTTACTTCTGAGTAGACATGCATAACATTGCACTGATTCTGTTGAAATCTGTGTGGGAAGATGGTCAACCCCTGTTGCTTTCAGTGGGAACAAAGTATCACTAAATTAGTTTAGATCAATGCTTTTTTTGCAAAAAAAAAAAAAAAGTGCTGGAAAGCATGGAGTCGCACTTTTACACTAAAAAAGATATTTAATTCACCAACTTTTTTTTTTTTAATAAAGAACTTATTTACCTTTCTCATGTAGCCAGTCATTCTACACACACATAAACATAATGGTTGCTGCTGGCAGTAAGCACTCAGCGTGCGACCGCACACACCAGTCCCAAGCCAAGCAGCACCCTCACATTCAGCATGGACACACAAGCAGCCCGCAGGCAATTCAAAATCACTGCATTGGAAAAATCCGTCAAAAAAAGGTGCCGGAATGCCATTCTGGTGCGTTCTATGACAAAAAAAGCCTTGGTCCCATGCAATCTTTGCAAATGGGCCTAGTTCTAATAGCGAATGGGCCTAGTTCTAAACTCCTCACTAGAATGAAGCCAGTCTACACTAGTCCTTTTCATTGTCTTGGAAACACTATCCACCAGTTGAGGGACATCAAGAAAATCTTCCTGACAACCTACTGCAGCATTTAGAACTTACAGAAGTGTCTCAGTACCCTCTTAAAGGCGCTCCCTACACTGTGTATTGAGATGAACGATAATCTGGATGCTAGAAGAACAGTGTATATTTACCCAGGAGGTGTAGCTGTTGTACCAGCTGGAAGTGATAAAAGGCAGTGCATGCTGCAGGGGCCATGTGGCAGGCCTTCCATGGCAATCTAGGTGGATGTATCAGTTTCTCCCAGTCTGTGGGCTTGATCCTGTAGGTGGTGTTCACCCTTTCCTACAACAGGTAGATTACAACCTCTGAACCACTGGATAGTGCAGCCACCAAATTATGATGCCTCTGCTTTGGCAAGATGTTCAATGTGCCCCAGCATAAAACAAATATAAGTAAATTAGAAGTAGAAAAAATAGTGTACCCCATTACTCGATCCTTCTCAGTGGACTGGCACAGGCTCATTTCCTGGCAGTGTTCTTGGGCTTTCAGTGTGAACTAGCTGCTTGTTCAGTTAATTTGGAAAATGAGGCAGTGAGTTTTTAAGGGAATAGGATCGCTTTATTCTTAGGGTAGGGTTTATTTTTCTGAACAAAATCCTAACTGTTTACTGAAAATTATTGGATGAGTAATATTAATTTATAATCTTTCTGTTCCAGAACTTTGGGATTGTTAGTGAAGAGATTGGAGAAAGGTGGGAAAGCCGAACAAGAAAATCTCTTTCATGAAAATGACTGCATTGTCAGAATTAATGACGGGGACCTTCGCAATAGAAGATTTGAGCAGTAAGTGCATCTATCTACAGTTTATTGCTTTTCCTAACCTTTAACTATGTCACATGGAAGTAATTGGGGGAGGAATAAAATGTTTAAGAGCAAATTGTCAACGTAAGTTCTCTCTGTAAAGAGATAAGCATTTGTAGATCATTATAGTGTTTCTTTAATTACTCCGTATACGAAGCTACACGATAATTACTGCCATTCTATATCCTTTTTCTGATAATTTAGGCCTTGGTCTAAATAGTTATAGGACCATTTCTCTTTCCATACAAGCCTCCAATTATATTGAGTGTCTCGTTTTGTTTATAGGTGGAGAAGCAAAGCACTGTTTAGATACCTGTTGTGTTTGTTGTTTCTTTACCAAAAAAATCCTAATTTTGCATAAGAAATATATATCTGTTCAGATGCTGACCCTTCCTGAAGAAGTCAGTAGGTTTATAAATATTTGCATAGCAAGACATTTGGTCTGAACAGAAGTCACCATTTAATTTTTTCCCTGATGAAAAAAGTTCTATTTTACACCAATATTTTAATAAAAATGAATGTAAGGAAGGAAAAAACTGCACAGCCCTTATCACTTGAGCATTTAGGAGTGTTTGAAGTACTTTGATTTTTGCTGCTGAAATAATACTAAGGTCTTAATGTTTGTTTTGGTATTGCAACAATGTATAATCAATCTAAGCCCAAATATCCCTGGCAGTTCAATACTTACTATTGTGGAGCAGCATAGAGGAAACTTTATGCGGTGTAACCCAATATATAAGATTCTTAGACACATCAAGGAGACTTGGAGATGGGCCAGCAGAGAGGATGGAAAAGTATTTCATATATATATCAACAAACATCTTTAATATGTTGTATCATAACAAAAAGTTTTCCAGTGTGCTCTCTCTGCATCACACATGTTGGCGTTGCTCTCAGGGCAGCTCACACAGTACAAGAAGTTATAAACAACAAATAAAGAAATGAATACAGAACAATGAATATAATAAAATGTCAAAACCTACAATGAACTTTTAGGATATGTTGATTAATAAAAGTAGAAAAGTCTTTTACCCCCACCCCACACATTGTGTTTCCTTAATAGAATCTACTTTGGGGAAAAAGTCATTTGTTCTGAGAGCACTCCAAGAAAATCACCCTTTTTAGTTTACAGTTCAGTTTCAACAATATGCCTGTCATTTCATGATGCCTAATTAACATCAGTAATTATGCTTGTTATGTCTTCTAGTCTGCCAATCTTAATTTGCTAATTTTCTATTCATTTTAAAACCTAGAGCACAGCATATGTTCCGTCAAGCCATGCGAACACGCATTATTTGGTTCCATGTGGTTCCGGCAGCAAAGAAAGAACAGTATGAGCAGTTATCGCAAAGTGAGAAGAATGCGTACTACTCCAGTCGGTTCAACCCTGATTCTCAGTATATTGACAATAAGAGTATTAACCACACTGGACTTCACACATTGCAGAGAATAACCCGAGTGAGCAATCAAGCTGATCAGCTGGACTCATACTCACAACTACCTCATAGTGCGAATGCATCAGGAAAACCACCTTTGGGCCTGTCACCATCACCCCAAAAAGTTCTCATCTCCACTTCGAACACTGGCTACAACACCAAAAGGATAGGGAAGAGGATTAATATACAACTGAGGAAAGGTAAGACGGTCGGTTCAGCACTTAACACTACTGGGTAGCCCAAGGTAAGGTTTCAAAGTAATATTTATTTAGGCCTTTGCCTGCCTTGAGAAATACTGGGCCTGATTTATAAGCTTCCACATGTGCTGAGAGTTCAGGTGTGACAGAGTGGGGTAGAATGGTCATGAAACTGGGCTTGGTAAGTTGCTTAAGCACAGAGGGGGGTACTTTTAATTAAGGGTGAAACACTTTTTAACAGCCATCATAGATTTGATTCTAACATCAGCATAATTAGTCATTTTAAAAATGCTTTGCACCTGCACCAGAGTTGAGACTGTTAGGTCATGTTGGGAGCAATAGGGATGATGGGCTTGGGCACAGCTGCTGATTCAGATTTGGAAGATTTGGAAGATGAAGAAAATATCAGTGACATTGGGGAGCATGGGTTAGCTCAACGGCCTAGGATACAGGAGCAGGAGGAGGAGGAGGAGGAGAGGATGAATATCTCAAGGCTGGCTGCTTTGCCTCGCCAGACTGTTCCTGGGAATGGCTCCAATACACATCCAGTGGGAGGGGCCGCAGGGGATGAGGAACTCTGAGATGCAGACCAACCCGCCGCCTCTGAGCTGAACCCTGTGCCAAGGCGCCAGCAGAAGTGAGAGGCCCCGTTAAGAGAGCAGAGGGCAGAGAGAAGGCATGTTCACTTTCAGAGAGCCCCTTCTGAAGGGGTAGGGCACAAATGTGTCCCTAAGGAGAGACCACAAAGGTAATCCCTTGGCTGGGTTCAACAAACTGCCCTGCACAAGCTCAGAGACTTGTCCTGAGTGATTTGTACTGGAAGCAGTAAAGAATGTTTTGTAAGGAAAATGGACTGTGGCTGGTGTTTGCTTGAAGGAGGAACCTTGGCTCATGGCAGGCAGGGTGGAAGGTCAGATATTCACTAGTAAGATGAAGCAAGAAGAGAGCTTGACCTCTCTTTTCTTGTAAGAATTCAGCTGCTCAGAGAAAATGTCCATGGTGCTAGGGCAAAACCCAGCCATTATGTTTCCATCATCATCTGTTATTTTCAAATGTTTCTCAACTGAATTATTTATAAATTACAGGTAGGCCGATTTGCAGAGGGGCAGCCTCTATAGCAGAAGCAACAGCCCTCTGAAACCTTAATGACTAAGAAATTTATACTGGCCTTGCAATATAACCTTTTGTGGACTAAAATCTGCTTTAGCAGGTGGAACATATAGGTGGATGTGACACTAGGATTTTTTAAAAATATAAATTGCACATGGAAAAATGCACCTATATATGTGGATATGCTACTGCCTAAATGCAGGGTGCAGCCTGCATTTCTCATAATACCTGAGAACAAGTTCCCCAAGTGGTTAGACTTACAAGATTTGTTATGTCAGTGTAATAGAGAAAGCTCGGCTGCAGTCCCAGTGTCACTTCTGTGCTGTTGTTGGCAAACAGTGCTATTTTATTTATAGTGCTTATACTTCGTTAATTATAGTGGTTATGGTTAGTGCTGCTCCTACATACTTGCGTGTGATAACGTATTACAGCTGCCACTAAATTTCACAATATATATTGCACATGGAATATATTAAAGGACACTCTATCTATGATTGGAATTGTTATTTTCCATCTTTGATTATGCTCTATTTTCTGTGAACTTCATGTGAACTACCAGATTGCTTGTTTCTGGTTACTGAGTTTTAAGCTCTACAAACTTGGATGACATAAGGTTGAGTTGACAGTTTGCTTCTGTTGTTGAGGTGCCTTCAAAAATACTTAAGGCCATCAGCTTAAGATGACATGCTTGGGGGAAAAACACAGTATTACTAGCCGAGTGAAGAACTGCTGTGCTTACAAATACAAATTCAGTCACTACCGTGATTTACCCATTTTTCATCTTTAATGGAACAGATAAACAGGAATCCTACAAAAACACCACTGGGATATTACACAGGCTTCTGACTTTCTCAATCAGTGGTGGAAATAGCGATTATACAGTTTATATAATTGCAGCAGTAATTTTGATTAAGTAATGGACTAAATAGCATTTTATAGCTTCTCAGCAGCAAGCAGTGAGAATGTACATTTTTGTGGCACAAAGTAAAACTTGACTGCAACATGTTGTCTATGGGGTGACCTTTTGGAAACTCAGCTAGTTCAGAATATGGTCACTGTGCCTCTGTTACTATGGCCAGTCTGAAAAAGCACCCCAATTTTGAAAGAGCTTCCCTGGTTATGGCCCCTTTCCGAGCAAAAGGTCTTTATCGCTTTGGACTGGGATGTCTTTCACTGCCTGTGTCTGCCTGTACATTAAGTTCTTCATTGGGTTTTGACTTCTGAATATTAGGTGGGTGTCCTTTTTGGCCGAACACCCCTATTATGGAAAGTTTTCCTGGAAAGTCTCACCTATCAAGTTTTTTCAGTACTAGGCAAAGTCTTTCAGTACTAGGCAAAGCTCATTTGATTTTGTTTATTTCATTTAAAATACACCTCAGTGCAACATAAGTGCCTGATGCTTGGCATGTATCCTAAGGAAATCCTAGCGTATATCTTGGAGTTACTATAAGATGCTCAATTTAAATGTGTCTGTGTGGTTGAAACCCACAGTAGCATCTTCAGCCATTAAGGGCATGTTTTCCTAATGAACACACAACAGGCTGAAGGGCATAGATTCACTTCTACCGCCTCCCTCTGTGGTGTGGCAGCCTCTTCTGCTCAAGGGAATAGGCAGATTCTTTTCTTAGGGGGCTCTGGGATGCACCATGACAGAAGCGATGCCCAGGGTGCCCCCACTCAGGGCAGCCACAATGTGACCAGCTCTGGTGGCTGCAGAAGCACGTTGAAAGCTTCACTATATCAAAGTTACGGCTATTCCAACCTGTACAAAGTCAGGGCCATTCCCTAGTAGTCCATAAAATACCAATAAGACAAAATTTCACAGCGCAAATAATAAATTACCATAGAATCCACAGATGAAACAAAAATGTTAAAAACCCTTAACAGTTATAGCTAACCAGCTCAGTTTAGCCGAAAGAAAGGAAGAAAGGAAAGGAAAGGAAAGGAAAGGAAAGGAACCCACTACAAAATATGTTCTCATGCTCTCCTTAATGCCTGCAACAAAAGGACTGGATATATCCCAAAAAATGGCAAGGTTGGTCACTTGCCTAGGATAGGCAAAAGGTCTAACTAACACATCAACTGCATTATCACCCTTTCTTGATAAGAGACGGCCAAGAAAGATAGATAGACAACACAAGAGAGTTCTGAGCTTTATCTGTCCAGATAAAGAAGCCACACCAAATCTTCCTTTCTTGGTATGTCCTCTTCCAGTCCTGCTGCTAATGCCAATTGAACATTTGGGATTCTAGTTGTGATGTTACGCGTTATGCCTGTTCATAGCTGGAATATGTTATCCCTGGTGACGTGTAGTGTATGATGTAAGAAGGATTCCCTTCCAACATTTGTTTTTTCTTGTTAATGCTCACCCTCAAAAGATACATGTCTCGTGCCTTGGTGTTCATTTGATTATGCTGAGAATGTGCATGTGGCGCAACAAATGAAGCAGAGCGCTTAAGTATACCCCCAAGTAGTTTATTATAAATATGAGCGGAATGGAGATGTTGATTGTCTTTGATTATTTTTAATGAAGGATATTATAATATGATGGGCTTTACGGAAACCTAACAAACGTGCTTTCTTTTCAGCTAACAGGCGGCAGTTATTCTACCAATTACCATCATTAGATTAAAATTTCCTTGCGGGCACGTTAATGCACATACACACACATATGCCATCATCATGAAATTCTCTTCCTATTTAGCCAGTCTATTTAGAATAATGATTTAGAGTGTGTGAATTGCCCCTGTTAAGATATAAAAGGAAGAAGCATTGGAAGAGAGAAACCTTCTTTATTAAAGCTGTTCTTTTTGCCAGCTGCGTGAACTATGGCGTCGAAAATGACAAACTGGGATAGTCCTGTAGTAATTGTACTTGCTTCCGTTATGATTTCTTAATATTTATTGCCATTTTGGCATTTTCAAATAACCTGATCTTTCATGGGAATTAGCTGTTTAATAAAGTCAGAAGAGAAGGTCAGTAATATGCGTCTGTCAATGCAGAATGTTTGTTGGCTTTTTCTAAATGAAAATTGATATCTATTTATCTTTTGTTAAAGGTCGGGGCTTCAACTTCTAGCATACAGATTTAAGGGTTATTGCTGATGTTCTAATATTACTGAAGGGTTGCATTTCAGTCAGTCTTTGTAGTTCATATGAACTTTAGGCGACATTCCTGCAACAAGTTACATGCAACAGGCATCCCCTAAGATGGGATCCTATGAGAGGCTAGAAAGAAAACGCCTACAACTCCTAGTTATGCTATCTGGGGCATGCTAAGAGTTTTTCTCATCTAAACTTGCACAATATTGTGTCCTTAATGTGTTACAATTAATGTACACATAGATCCACATTACAGAAAATGGCTTATGATCCTCAGTGCTACGCTCACTTCTCCATATTGCAAACGACCTCTTAGCAACAAACTAGACCTTAACTGAAATGTGCATCTGACAGCTTTGTTCTAAATTATTTTTATTATGTCTCTATAGCAGGTCCCTCTCTGGTTTTGGACCCTGGTTTGAAGGGCCAAGCAACTGATAAGATCTGGATGGGGCAGGGGGTGCCCTCAGTCTACTCCATCGTAAAAGATGGAAAAAGCTGTAAGACACACATTTAATGTCTGCTTTGCCCTCTACTGCAGTGTTTGGAGGGCTGCTGGAAATGTGGAACTCCAATGCCCATTGTACTGAAGAAGGACAGGCAATCATTTTCCAAGTAAACTGGTGAAAGAATGGAGGACTGCTTGCTGCTGAATACCTTGTAGGCCTAGAGGACATGTCCTTTGCTGGAGATCATGCCCAGATTCTCTCAGCATAGAAGGAGTACAGATACTTTGTGTAATCATGTTGATTGCATATGCAGCTGCAGTCATTTCATTCTCAAATGACCAGT